GATGGAAGGGGGTTGGAGGGCTGGGGGAGAAAGGTGAAAGGATTAGGAAGTACAAATTATTAGTTACAAAATAGTTACAGGGATGGGAAGTACAGTATGGGGAATATAGTCAATATTTTAAAAACTATGTATAGTGTCAGATGGGTACTAAACTTATTGGGTGGATTACTTCATAAATTATATAAATGCCTAACTACTATGCTGTATACCTGAAACTAATATAAAATAGTATGAATTTCAACTGTAATTAAAAATATATATTTATATATTTAGAATGTAAAATACAGTATAGGGAATATAGTCAATGTATTATAATAACTATGTATGGTGTCAGATGGATAGTAGACTTGTTAGGGCTATCACTTTGTGAGGTGTGTAAATGTATAATCACTATGTTGTTTTGTGCACCTGAAACTAATAGAAAAAAAAGAAAACACAAAAGAATAAATCTCACTATGACTGTAGAAGCAAAACTCTTAAACAAATGGAATCTAGCAGCACATTATAATATATCATGATCAAGAGAAGTTTATTTAGAATATGGGAAGATGGTTTATGATTAGTATAATTTGTTTTTATTGATAGGCCTAAGGTGAAAAATCATATGGTCATCTCCAATTACCTGATGAAAAGCACTCGACAAAATTCAACACCCAATATTTATAAATAGAATTCAGTAAAACAGTAATCAATGGCTATTTCCTTACATTATATACACTTATATCTATACATATGTATGCATATCTCAAATCTCCAAATCATGCTCAATGGTGATACAGTACACTTTTTCACTAAAGAAAAGAACAAGACAAGAAATCTCACTGTTATCACTACTGTTTAATATGGTATTACAAATACTAGCCAACTGAAACAAGAAAAATAAATTTAGAAGACTAGCTCTGAGACAAAGAGGTGAGGTAACTGTCGCTTTTGACACATGATATGGGTGTATACATGGAAAACCTAACAGAACCTACTGAAAAACTACTCCAAAAAGAGAATTCAATAAGAGAACAGGATGCACAATTAATATTAAGAAATTGTTAGTCTTCATATAACAATAACAAGCAGATAGGCAATATATCAGAAGAAAAAAAGGCCACATTTATGAACAAACCAAAAGATAAAATATTTAGGAATAAGCAAGCCCAATATGTAAAAAAAAAATTTTTTTTTAAAAGATTTTTATTGGGGGGTTGGGGGGATGGGAACAGCGCTGGGGAATTGGGGAAGGGGAACAGACAAGTTGCTGTCACTTTGTTCTTCAGTCTGGTTGTGGAGGACGTTGCTTCACTGGCCCAAGTTGGCACCATCACTGCGCTCCTCCCGAGTGAGGCAGATCAGTCGCTGGCCTCTGGACGGCCGCTCACTGCGGCTGCTGGCCGCTCACACTGGCTGCTGGCTACATACGGTAGCCCATGGCAACCCACTGCTACAGGGGCTGCAGCCTATGCCGTGGCCGGCGACTCACGGCAGCTCAGCTCCAGGTTGAGCTGTTGTTCAGCATCTCAGCTGTGGAGGGCAGTGTCACTGGCCCTCATATGTGGGATCCAAACCAGGGCCCTCTGGCATCCCAAACCAGTTCTTAACCATCGCACCACTCGGACGGCCCCCCAAAGAATTTTTAATACTGAAAAAAAAAAGACAAATCAAAAGACACCATATTCTCAATAGGAAGATTCAACATTGTGTTAATTCTCCATATATTATTTGATTCAGACGCAATAAAAATACATTCTCTTTTTTCTGCAATTGATAGAAACTATTCTAAAGTTTATATAGTAAAATAAACAGTAATAAGAAGGAAAATAAGGTAAGGGGAAAGCAGTAGATAGAAGTTATTGAAATCACACTCATATAAAGTCTCAGTATTTAAAACAGTGGAGTGCGTAACATGTAAATAAACAAATGGATGTAAGGAATGGAAATCCAGAAATAAGCCTAAATATATATAGGAAGTAAACCCTAAGCTACATCCAATAACTACAGGAATATAAACCTAAATAGTAAATCTAGAAATAAACCTAATTACAGGAATTTAGTACATAATAAAGGTGATATCTGAACTCAGTAGGAAAAAGACTTTTCAATAAATGGCTTTGGAGTAATAAGAAAAAAAAACCTGAACATATCACGTATACCAGGATATATTCCATGTGAGTCAAAATTTAAACATAAAGAATAAGCCATAGGTTTTTGTTTGTTTGTTTTTTAAAGATTTTATTGGGTAATTGAGGGAGGGGAACAGTGCTGGGGAATCGGGGAAGGGGAACAGAGCAGTTGCTGTCCTTTTGTTCTTCAGTCTAGTTGTGGAGGACATCGCTTCACTGGCCCATGTTGGTATCATCATTGCATTCTTCCCGGGTGAGGCAGATCAGTCTCCGGCTTCTGGACAGCCACTCACAGAGGCTCTTGGCAGCTCACACCGGCTGCCGGCCACACACCGTAGCTTATGGCAGCCCACTGCAGCAGGGGCTGCAGCCTACGCCATCGCCAGCGACTCATGGCAGCCCAGCTCCAGGTCGAGCTACTGCTCACCATCTTAGCTGTAGAGGGCAGTTTCACTGGCCCTCATGTGGGATCAGAACCAGGGCCCTGCTGCTGAGAGCTGGTGTCCCCAGCCAGCTCTTAACCAATGCACCACTTGGCCGGCCCAAGCCATAGTTTTTAATCTAGTATTTATTTAGTAGCTAATTCATACATGTCAGAGTAATATATTGATGTGTAAAACACATAGTTTTGCACATTACTGGAAAGATACTTAACACATTTTTTTCAATTTGTATTTATTGTCACTTGATTTCTGGCCACTAATGATACATATAAATATAGTGTTATCCAGAGTTATAGTGCTTATTTCTAGTTGATGATGTGACTGAAAACTTTCAGCTTTTTATTGCTGTTTTATTATATTCCTGGTAATACTTTTGGTCCTTCACCATTAATAATTCTTTTTGTATTCATTGTGATAATACTGATCATAATAAATTTATTTCAAATTCATGTGGATGTCATATTTCACTGCTATAAGATTTCCATTGTAATTTGGAACTAATTAACATACTATTAAAATGTTACCCACATTTTTCATTTTAAACATAAAAGAATGAGCCATAAATGAATTTGTTAGAAGAAAAATATGGGTAAATTTCTTCATAATCTTAGCATGCCCAAGGCCTTTCTAACTAATCAAATTTCAGAAAACATTTTTTTAAAAGCGATTATTTTGACTATAAAAAAATAAAAATTATGGTACATCCATACAATGGAGTATTGTTCAGTGCTAAAAAGAAATGAGCTATCAAATCACAAAAAGACTTGGAGGAAACTTAAATGCCTATTGGTAAGTGAAAGAAGCCAATTTGAAAAGGTTACATATTGTGTGATTATAATTAAATGACATTTTGCAAAAGGCAAAACTATGAAGACAGTAAAAACACCATTGGTTGCCAGGAGGGAAGGAGGAGAGACTGAGAGAGAGGGATGAATAAGTGGAGCGCAGAGAATTTTTAGGACGGAAACTTCTCAATGATACTGAAACTTCTGGTGAATACGTGTCATCATTATACATTAGTCAAAACACATGGAATATGCAACACAGAGTGAACCCTAATGTAAACTGTGGACTTTGGACGATGATGATGTGTCAGTCAGTGTTGGTTCATCAGTCATAACAGATGGACCGCTGTGGTGCAGGATTTTGATGGTAGGAGAGGCTGTGGGTTGAGGGGTGAGGGGGAAGTACATGGGAATTTTATATACTTTTCACTCAATTGTTTTGTGAACCCAAACTATTCTAATAAGTAAAATTATTTTTTTTTAAGTAAAAAGCTTGCGAAAGGCAATAATATATATATATATATATATATATATATATATATATAAACAAAATTAGAAGATAAAGTCTGCCAACCAAATAGAAAAATAGACAAGTGATATGAATACGAATGGACAGAAAAGGTGACAGAAGGAAATATGGAAGTCTCAAAACCTATACAAAAGATGTTCAACATTATAGTATGTGAAATGCAAATTATAACTATACAGAGCTAACGTTTTTCACTTATCAATCGTGTTGGTAAAAAATCTGTTACCAAAAAAAAAGTGTTAACTCTAGTAAGACCGTAAGGCAGCAGCTACTCATGTATTACTCCCGGAAATGTGAAAAGGTGCAGCTGCCATGGAGGACAACATGGCAATATCCATCAAAATTAAAATTGCATTTAACCTTTAACCCATCAGCTTTACTTCTAGAAATTTATAGCAGCCCTTGCCCCTGAATGAAATAATATGTACATATGGCCATTTATTTCAGCATTGTTTGCAAAACTAGCAAAAGATTAGAAACAACTCAGATGTTTCCTCAGTAGCAGGCCAAGTAATTAAATTATGGTACATCTTATGGTGGAATATTGTGCCATGTGAATACATTTATGTAAAATAACAAAGATTTTTTTTTTTACATCTATAGCACAGTACTTCCTGAATTTTTCTACCCAAAGTAACTTTAACAGAGAGAATATATAAACTAGTAGTATGGGATTATAGCTTGGAGTGACCAGTTTTTAAAAAATTCCTGCTTTATCTTTAAAATCTGTGTGCTTACTATGTTCTTCTTTATTGTTAGTCTGATTTAATTTAAAACCAGTTTTAGAAACTGCCCTTATCATGGAGTGATCCTGCTGCAGGAAGATACACCTTGTTTTCTATTGTATGTGCCTTTGTTTACCCCTGATACGCTGCCAACCACCCTTGTCTGAGAAGCGGATAGTGTAGCAGGCTTTTTTCTAGACTGATTTTTCAGGACTATAATCTGGAAACAATTAAAACAGCCCTGTATTTGTCTCAGAATAATTTAATAAGTTTCTCTTTCTAGTATTGAGCGTTCCCAACACGATACCTAATTTGATTTATTGGCATTCAGGCATGATATAGTGGTTTGTCCAGAATATTCATATGTTACATGTTCAGCATATTTCTATGTAAAATACTCTCTTTAGCAGGATGAAGTTAAAGGAAGTAGATCGTACCGCCATGCAGGCATGGAGCCCTGCCCAGAATCATCCCATTTACCTAGCTACTGGTAAGTTCAACAGACAAAAATAGTGTGAGTCACCAAATTTCTTATCTTCCACATCTGATTTATTTATACCTGTTCTTTAAGATTCTGTTCAAGCTTCATTTCTAGAAAGCCTCTCCTTCCCTGGTGAGATACGTCCCTTTTTCCTGTCAGCTGAGTTCAGTGACCTTCCTCTGTGTTCCCATGGCACCCTGTACATCATAGCATTAATCATGATACATTATATTTATAGTATCTTCCCCACTTCATAAGTTTTATCTTTATTCTCCCAGTATTAAGCACAATAGATAATGTAAAAAATAGTTAATAAATATCAATTCGAATGAATGAATCAACTGTTTTGATGCTAGCATTTTTATATAGGCAGAGTTGGTTATATCATTTGTGACTATAAGCAGATATAGTAAATCATGGGACTGTTTTTACAAAGAGCTTTTAAAATATCAATAGGCTTAAAAGATTATATGTACTACCCACTCTTAGCAAACCTCTTCTCCGAGCCCTGTGTTAGGATCTCATTGCTGTAGTAATTTAAGCATCTGCTCAGTGGCATATGTGCTGAGATTTCAGCCACTAGTATAGCACTCATGAGTAAGATAATTGAAAAACATGCATTTAGTTTCTATTTTGTATGGTTTTCTCTGAGTCTTTTATTTTTGCATGCATAGTTACCATAAATGTATTTTCTATAGGAACATCTGCTCAGCAATTGGATGCAACATTTAGTACCAATGCTTCCCTTGAGATATTTGAATTAGACTTATCTGATCCATCCTTGGATATGAAATCTTGTGCCACTTTCTCTTCTTCTCACAGGTATGAGATTCAAACTTAAATTTACATAATGATGTTTATATGATGTGATTTATGCCTAGTTTGTCTATAAACATGCCATTATTAAAAATAGCAAGGAATACCAACAATGGTATGAAATATTTTGTGAAAAAAATATATGCGCGAATTCCTATGGAAGTAAAGACGAGTCTATGTCTACTAACTTATTTTTTTTATTGCTGACTGTATGTGTAGAATAGGAAGGAAAGGATCTAGTTTCTACTGTTTTTTTCTCATGATTTATAATATGATGTATTAGAATTGCTTTTTTTTATCTCCTTTATCTCTCCTGTTTTCAAAAGGTAGGTATAACTAGAAAAGGTAGTTCAATTAATATTAAGATGTTAATAGTGGTTATTTTGGAATGGTAGGTTATTTTAATTTTTTTTCTTATACTTATCTACAGAGGGTGCCAAAAAAATGTATACACATTTTAAGGAAGGAAAACTATTAAAATTGTAATACTCAATATATATCGATAACAGAAGATCAATACAAGTCACATTTGACTTGTGCATTTACAAGAGGTGCTCAGAGTGGTTACCATGAGCGTCCAGACACTTCTGATTATGGTGAACTACTTACTGCTTGAGCAACGTTAACCAAAGTGTCCACTTGTATACGTTTTTTGGGGATTTTTGGCACCCCTTGTATATATGAAAATGTATTTCACAGAATTTTATTGACTTGAATTCTGATATAGGCGGTGTTTGGATCACCGTCCCAAGTACTTGCTCCTTGTTAAAATGCAGAAAAAGTACACTTTCATTTGAGTAGTAAAATTGCTTTATTGCCTCAATAGCTTGGCAGATTTTGGTGAAGAGATGGTACCTTAGCTAACAGAATCATGGAGTCTTAACGGGATCCCTCATTCTTCAGAGCCCTCCCACTGTGATAGGAACCCCTATACTTTTTGTTTAGCAGTTTTTCTTCTCACCACCATCCCATTTTTTCTCATCGTATGCCTCCATGCCACCTTCATATTTTATCTCCATGCCAAACAATAATCTTTTATTCTTCACCAGTAGGGGTACTTATCATAATAGACATAATTTTGATGTCACTTTTCTACTGTCAGAATACATTATTTTTCTTAAAAATGTCAGATGATTCCCTTAACACCTTACTGTTAAACAGACCACTTGTTGGTGAGTACCTCTGTAGTCAAATAGAATAAAAGGAAATGGTTGATTGGTTCTATTTTTCAGATGAACCAAAAGCAGCTTAGAAAACTTAAGTAACTTGCTCAGGGTCTCACAATTTCTTAATGCTAAAACCATTTGTAAGCCCATATCTTTTGACACACAAATTAAGTATACATTATTGTACCTTACCTCAAAAGAGGTTTTTTACTCTTTAAGATTATAAAATCAAATATTCACATTTGAGTATAAATAAAAACTAAAATGCGATTTCACCAAGTTATGCACAGTTACCAGGAATAGAGGAGAAGCAGTGTTTCTGGGGTATTTATGAAGACATAAAGAATTAAATATATAGTTTCAGATTCTTTTCTACGTTTATTTGACTTCAAAAATGAGTTATTTTACTCATTTTCTTTTGAAGGTACCACAAGTTGATTTGGGGGCCTCATAGGATGGATTCCAAAGGCAATATCTCTGGAGTTCTGATTGCAGGCGGTGAAAATGGAAATATTATTCTTTATGACCCTTCTACAATTATAGCTGGAGACAAGGAAGTTGTGATTGCCCAGAATGACAAACATTCCGGCCCAGTGAGAGCCTTGGATGTGAACATTTTCCAGGTTAGATTTTGCTATTTATTCATAATTCTTGAGATATGTGGCACTTATTTGAAGTAAATATGTGAATTTACTATGTCTCAGTCTTGGAATTGAAAGCTAAAAATGTGTGCCTGTGCTGGTTGATGAGTGAGGATATTTGTTTGAAGAGTGGAGGGTTCAGAGTTGGGTTCAGGGTAGATGATACTAACTCCATGGAGGGAATACTAACTATGGATGGGATCTGATTCAGCTGGTGGGTTTAATTCAGAGAAGTCTAGAGGTGTCATACCATCTGATTGGGCTTTTTTTTTTTTTTTAACATTAGGAGCCCTAAAGGTTGGAAACCTTGCCTTTTAGAAGTTTGTGCTAGTTCAGCATTAGGTTGGTGCTGTGGTGTCTGAGTTAATCCACTGTTTTATTAATTGAGAAATTCTATATTTATTATAAAGAGATTACTCTATCAAATACTTAGCAATATACACAAATATAGTGCAAATCTAATTCATAGACAACTAAAGAGTCTTTCTACTGTTGCCATCATAAACATTACTGAATATTAATTATAAATGTGTAGGTTAATAAAGATCTTGAGTTAATAGGATACTCGAGTATACAACCAATAAATGAATATTCTTAAGACAGTTTAAATTAGTTTCTTTTGGTATTATAAATAGATACTTAGGGTATAGAAATATAAAACCCAAACTTCTTTATTTCTTTTTAGATTTTTTTTAATTGGGGAACTGGGGGATGGGAACAGCGCTGGGGAATTGGGGGAAGGGGAACAGACAAGTTGCTATCCTTTTGTTCTTCAGTCTAGTTGTGGAGGACGTTGCTTCACTGGCCCAAGTTGGCACCATCATTGTGCTCTTCCCAGGCAAGGCAGATCAGTCGCCGGCTTCTGGACAGCCGCTCACAGCGGCTCTTGGCAGCTCACACTGGCTGCTGACCACACACAGTAGCCCATGGCACCCCACTGCAGCAGGGGCTGCAGCCTACGCCATCGCTGACGACTCATGGCAGCCCAACTCCAGAGCGAGCTGTTGTTCAGCATCTTAGCTGTAGAGGGCAGTGTCACTGGCCCTCATATGTGGGATCCAAACCGGGGCCCTCTGGCGTCCCAAGCCAGCTCTTAAACAATGCACCATTCGGCCGGCCCCAAACTTCTTTATTTCTACAGTGGTGTCTACTCTTTAGATTAGAAAGTGTTTTTTTTGTTTGTTTGTTTGTTTTTGTTAATTGGATTGAACAGTTGCTAATTTTTAGTTAGTGTCTCATATTACAGATTCTTGGGGGCTATTACCATAGAATTTCTCTATTTTCATTGTTATATCTCTGTTGATCAGAGAAGAATTTATGAGAGTGAACAATAAAGCATGAAGGTTAATACACGAAACTCATTATCTTACTGTACTTCATATCACAGTTTTAGGGGCTTTTTGACTGTAAGGGTGTACAACAGAGATAACCTAGAAATATTGCCACCTGAAACAAAGTTGAGTGTAAATGAAGTAGAATTATGTAAGGGTTTAAGACAGGCAATGTTATTAGCTCTATCTGGTCTGGCTCCAGGCCAAGATAGAGCTAGTAACATCTGAGATAGATGTCATTATTTTAGGATTCAGTTATTTATCTGAAAACGATAATTGGTAATCTGTTTTTGTCTCCCCCAATCAGATCCCCTTCCTGAGATGCAAAACCACAAATGATAATACCCATATCGTTGCATGATTGTTTAAGAATGTATCCATGTAATTACTTTTTTAATGTCTTGTATTAAAATGCAGTACACATATTATCTTTTTAAGTTAAATAGAATTTATATGTTTCTCTAAAAAGCTACTTAAATTTTAGATTGTTATGCGTAGTATTTAAGAATTCATGTTTTCTTTTTTTAATTAAATAGAAAAATTGTATGCCCTAAAACTGATAGATCTTTTATAAGTGCTGTTTAATTATTAATTATTTCTTATTGCAGACTAATCTGGTAGCCTCTGGTGCTAATGAATCTGAAATCTACATTTGGGATCTAAACAATTTTGCAACTCCAATGACACCAGGAGCCAAAACACAGGTAACTACATTGATTTTGATACAATCAAAAGAACCAAAATCAGTTCTTCAACACTTATTTATTTCAGGGTTGTTTTTTTTTTCACACAAAATATATTTGTTTAAAATCAGTGTTTAGATATCATTGATTTTCCTTCTGTGTAGTTAAGTATTAATAAATATGTTTTTTCAAAGTATCAATAAGTTCATCAACAGCAAATATTTATACATTGCTGCCATCTGCCAGGGACTGTTTGATGTACTAGACATACAGTAGTGAATAAAATAGATAAGTCTTTAATAATTTTCTTAGATATAGCATTTCATATAATATAGTATTTTATATCATACAGTATTTTAACAATATGCAACCTTAGAATAATAAATCGTAGACTAGAAAGGAAACTTAATTAAGAAAAAATAACTCAAACCCTTTCCTATGTATTTTCAGTAAGTTGAGAAAGAACAGCCCTCCCACTGCTTCTTTGAGTTTCTGTATGTTGTCTGGACTACTCAATTTGAGTAGCCCTTATAATGGGCCCTAACATTTGGCATTCTGTGAGATAGCATAATGATAGCACATGATCTACCATTTGTAAAGATATTTTTCTAATCGTCTAGGCTGTAATTTTTGCTCTGCCTAATTGTCATATTGACTCACATCTACTTTGGTGCATCATCTACCTCGTGGCACTTGTAGAATAAAGGAACAGTACTTGATTTATAACAGGAGCTTAATAAATGCCTGGTGAATGAGAGTATGAAACAAGGTAGTAAAATACTTGAATTGGCATATGCGTATACCTAAGCTTTAAACTGTACTGTATATGTTGAGAACTTAGGAATGCGAAGCAAATTTCTGGAATGAATAGATCAGATTTTTAAGTAATCCATTTTTAAAAAAGAAGGATTAGATTTTTGTAGTTAAATTTGATTATAATTGAGAAATGGTTTTTAATAGTTTATTCCTTATAGCCCCCAGAGGATATCAGCTGCATTGCATGGAATAGACAAGTTCAGCACATTTTAGCATCAGCCAGTCCCAGTGGCCGGGCCACTGTATGGGATCTTAGGAAAAATGAGCCTATAATCAAAGTCAGTGATCATAGTAACAGGGTAAGTATATGCTTGATTTGTGATGAACATGTTGTATTTCTGCTGTAGGTATGCCTGTATTGTTTGTTAGAGTTGGCAACAAATCAGATTTCTGTAAAATCAAATTCTGTCTTTTCATGGACCAATCATGTTGGAATGAGAGGATTTTTTCTTGGGGAAAAATAATAAAATTCCCAGTAAACCATGTTGGATGTTACTGATAATGAAGAGGGATTGGTTAATCAAGGGGCTTATTCCATGATATACTGGTTGTTTTGCTTTGCTAGCTGTTTCAAAGCATTTACAGCAACATTTGGATTCATCTTTAGCTTTCTCTAGACCAGGGGTCAGCAAACTTTTGAGACAGAAGAGTCAATCCTGTCCCTCACAACAATTTAAAAAATATTCAAGAGCCATAAAACAAATGAAATCACCATTATGTGAATAATATCCTTTAAAATTTTTATAAATGAAACTATGATAGTTTTATTTTCATTTTCAATTTTGCTTCAGAGCCACATGTATGTACCCAAAGAGCCGCATGTGGCTCGTGAGCTGCAGTTTGCCGACTCCTGCTCTAGACTGTACAGATTTTTCCTGCTAGTAATTTTATGACTGTGAACTGGTAGTTTCCAAACTCCTGGCTTCATCTCTTCTGATTTGGTACTGCTAAAGTGAGGTAATCTTCTCCCACTTGCCTGTGGACACTAAATTTCGACTCATGAATTCCTTAGTATTGTTTCATCATTTGTTGTAAGATAATTTAGACACAGTTAGGGCCTTGTATTGTTAGTTTGTTTTTAATTACATCGTATAGTTCGACATTTTCAAAAACAAGTTCACCTAAATCAGAGAATACATATATAATTTTTAAATAACAACAATAACAACAAAAAACTATTTAGAAGAATATTTCTTCAGGGTATCATTGTTCAATGAATCCGGAGTTTTAAAATATGTTTCAGTGGAATAAAACATACAATAGGCATTTCAGTCATCTTCTGGAATTGTTAGTAGGATATGAACTTCCAGGTAATTCTCAATAATAATGTTAATTTATTTCCATGTGAAAATTTAAATGGTAGTTGTTGCTTTAGACATTCTATCTTGATTTTTCTGATAAAATAGAAGAAAGGTGTTATTAAAGTCTTTTATCTCTTTATTTTCACTTTTCTCAAAGTATTAAATTTTAAATTTATATAAAAGTATTCCCCCTAAGTTACAGTTTTGACAGGAAAACATATTTTTGGTATAGAATTACTCTGGCCCAGAATGGTTTTATGTATCAGACAGCTGGATGAATTACAGACATTTAAACTTTTTACTTTTAAAACTGCTGTTTAAGAGTTTAATTAAATTTAATAGTTTTAGACTTTTGTTTTTTTAAAAATAAACTAAGCCTGTACTGATGTTTTTCACTGTTTCAACAAAGGCACATTCCTTAAGTTCATTTTGGCTTTTCATAAAGTAATATGATTGATAAAATGTGAGCCTTAACTATCTGCAGATGCATTGCTCTGGGTTGGCGTGGCATCCTGATGTTGCTACTCAGATGGTCCTTGCATCTGAAGATGATAGGTTACCAGTGGTCCAGATGTGGGATCTTCGCTTTGCCTCCTCTCCACTCCGTGTCCTGGAAAACCATGCCAGGTATCATGCTGCTCTTCCAAGGAACTTAATTTGTTTATATGTACTTACTACTTTGAATTGTCAGATAATTTTTATTAAGTTAGGAAGTCTACTTTGTCTCTGTCTTGTAAAAGTTACTGTAAATGGTTTGTTTTTATTTAAAGCAGCAGTCACCTGGTTTTCTATATCCCAAAATGGTAGCCAAATCATAGCATAACAACATGACAATGTGTAGAGGATTTTCCACTACTTATTTCAAGTCATAATTAATAGATCAAAATTCCAGTTACTTTGGGGCAACTATTGACATTATACAGTTTGCTCTTTATTAGGGCCATCATACTTATGAAGAGTCTTCCATAACATTCAGTGTCAAGCAACAATTGAAAAGTTTGTTTTATTTCTAAGTTTTAATTTTAATTTAAAAGTAAACATTTTTGGGCTGGCCGAGTGGCGCAATGGTTAAGAACTGGCTTGGGACGCCAGAGGGCCCCGGTTCGGATCCCACATATCAGGGCCAGTGACACTG